CTCGATCCGATCCAGTTGATAGTTCGACTATTGCGGCATGTAACGGTGAATCGGATAAGGAACTAGACTTTGCGTCTTTGCGCATGCTTGAGATCCTGACGGCGTCTTCTCTCCGTTATCAAATCAGCCAATAGCGCCATTCGCATTCGCTGTACTCCTATTAACATCATGCACACATAGAGGGATGTAGCTTCACCTTGCTCTCCGTTCGCCATCTTTCTCGTAATGTTGATGTTGTTGTTGTTGGTTGTTGTTGGTAGTGGTGAAGCGGTCAAGCTGAAATGGCTGTATCACAACTAGTTGTAATGAAAACAGCGCCACCTATCGTATCGGATATGACATGCTTTCGGCCAATGATTCGATTTATTCACTGCCATGTATATTGGGATAATAGCACTTGCCCCGAAAGATAGCATAGTCCGACTAAGCAAAGATTCAAATTATACCATCATGTAAACACACTCAGTGTGTTGACAGTAATCCGAAGAGGTTTTACGTTGACAGAGTCAGGATTAGTACTCTAGACAGGCTTTTGTGAAAGCCTCGCAGCCCAGAAACGAGAGTAGTCAATATCATGATTTTTGTCTCTGGCCGATTTTCCCCATTCAACCTCTTTTCTGAATCGTTTGATCCCATTGGTAAACTCACAGGGAAACGATCGACAGATCGGCCTTTGCCACTCAGGAGCCAAAATGGGTAGAGGGTAAATGACACTTGAGAATGACTGCCCGTAAAATTTGACCCCCTTACCCCCTGTTCAAGAAAAAAAAGAGGATTGAGTCATGCACAAAGGTGGATGGCTATTGCACCACAGAAACAGCAGACTCATTTCATAGTTTCGTCAGATGTAAGCGGCCTTTCCGATTCATATGCTAGATGCTTGGTGGCTTTTTTTAGTCCGTTTGTCTGAGAGAAATGATACTTATTGGAGCGTCTTCCGCTTTGTCTCGGCTTGCTCTTTGGTGTTCTGTTGTGTTACTATGTTCCTTCGCTGAGAAATGTACATTAGCACGGCCATGTGCAGTTATTCATTTGATTAATTTGCATATCGTACTTACTAACTTCTTGGAGTTGTGTTGGCTGTTTTTTCAAACTGATTGGCAACATTCTGTGCCAAGACTCTGTTTTAAAGCGGTTGAGGAAGGTTTTCAGCGTTATTTCTTAACGCACTCATTATTACACGCCCCTCTCAGTTAATGCCACGCCCCCTAAGCCAGATCAGGTCCAAAGGTTTGTATGTGAATTTGTTTTATAACATTTTTTATAAAATTTATAAAAGATTTAAATCTGAAAATATTAAATCTATAACTTAAAATGATTAAACCTTTAATATCAAAAATTCTTTCCATTTCTTTCTTTCTTTAATAAGGATTTTTTCCAAAACAATTCAATGACTGAATCAAAATCATATTTGATCCAGAAATACTTTTTATTCACTTATTTTTTAATACATTCTGGTATTATTTGATGTTCAACAACAAAACAAACTTTCAGGTTCAATTTTGGAAAATGTCAAAATTGTTGATTTTCCTAAAGTGTTTCAAACCTTACAATGACCTCAAATCATGAAGATGGGCCCGGGTGAGCTTTAGTTGAACAGTCCTGTCCTTATTCTCAATTGTTTGTTCAAGCCTCTTTGAGCTAATGCAAGAAAATCCTTTTTTAAAGGCGTAGTGTGTGTGTTTGTGTGTGTATTTGCGTGTGAAAACACCATTCCAAACAAACAGCAGAGACATATGGACTCAGGGGAAATGGAGAAAGGACACATTCAGAAAGACACACACACATATAGGAGGACAAAGGAAACCTAGACAGGACATATTCATGTGAAACAAAACAGTGCAGACCGGAGCACATACACAAAACATGCATATATGCATATAGAAACACACAAATAAACACATTGTTTTTAGTAGGAAATAGTGTGGGTGTTATCTCTGCCTTGGCTGTAAACAGACTTTAAGAAGGACTTAAATACAATGGACTGCTCGACACTGTCTGTTTGACTTGTCAAACTCTCTAATACAAAGGCCATGTGTGTGTGTGAGTGTGTGTGTGTGTGTGTGTATAGGATGGCCTTGCTAGCAGCAAGCAGTCATATTGTTTCAGTGATTGTGTGGATGTTAAATTGTTGTCTATCATAAACAGTACAATGGCATTTGTCTTATTGTATTGAAGAACAGGAAGTAAGATAACATCCACATTTAGTAACGTTAAATTTATCAAAGGACAAACAACAAGTATCCAACCACTGGACCATACTGCAGTTATTATAAGTCAGAAGTCTGCCAAATACATTTTATCCAACACTTATTACCGACCATCTGTGTGGGCAGTAAATGTGCATGTTACCCTGGTTGGAGGCGATCGGCGTTCCAGATTAAGCAGCCATGCAATATTACAGTTACTGGAAGAAATCATAGATAACATCGCATCGCCGACTCAGCGCTCACATTCCATTCCTCGCTACAGTACAATTATTCGCATCAAGATCATTTCAAACAGTCACAGCATCAGCTAACAAAGTAGAACCTGAGGACGCGGATGAGCACTTTGCTGGTATACGTTCGGTATAGATCACCACCTATACTGAACGGGTTGTAGAAGGGGAGGTTTTTAGCAACCTTCACTCTAGACACCGCGAGATGTGTCAGCAGGGTCCAGTTTTTTTGCCTCGTTAGGGCCAAGCTAATATTGTTGTTGCTGTTTTATGCTAAGAACCAAAGTTTAACATTCAAGACCCTAACACTTTTTGTCCTATCTATGAACGTGTTGTCAGTTCATAGCAAACAATAATACTTGTATAATAATACTAGTGCCTGATCTTTCTCGATGTGGTCCAAGAGAGGACTGGGTAAAAAGCCAAAGGGTTGGTTTTTCTTTCTCACTTGTGTGTGTTAGGGTTCGGGTGGCCCTCGAGGGAGGCCTCACTCCTTTGTTCTCGTCCCGGCCGGAAACAAAGATACAAAAGAGTCAGTTTGCTTGAATTCAAAAATCAAAAAAGTATTTAATAACTAAACAACGTTATAAGGAATACAATTACAAAGTGAAATGCAAAACGAACAGTAAAATATTTTGTGAAATAGAGAATCCTCTGAGCAAGTCTAAAGCGACTTATCAGAGCGGCTTCAGGAAAATTCTAACAGTCCTTTCCCCGCTTTGGTCATTTGAAAACTCTTGAGGTGTGTCTTCTTGGGTGCATTTGAATGTCATTGGCTTCTCCTTCAAAGTGTCCTCTCCTGGACTGTCCCCTTCACGTCGAGGTGTGAAGCTGCAGCTGTAACCTGAAACCTCTCTGTCCTATATGTCCCTCACACTCCAACACATTCAATGTAGATTCATTTGGCTTTATGCCTCAATGAGTGAATATAACAAAGCATGCTTAGTTTGTCTTCATCTTATAACTAGTACACTTTCATTACAACAAATCATTAATGATCACAGTTCATCACACTACATCATAAGATCTAAAGCAGTTCATGTGGTCTAATTCTCAAGACATTTGCCTCAATCGGCTGTCTTGTATTCAGTTGTTCATTTACTACCTGACAGGAGAAAAAAAATCCCAAAAAACCCTCTTTGGGGAGAAAATTGGGAGAAATCCATAAAGGACGGCAATTAGCATCCGTCCCCAGGTTTTAACATCACATTGTGACAGAATGTTCATCCCTAACATGTGAAAAGGCTTTGCCTGGTTAGACACTGCTCATGGGCATTTCCTCTCTCTCCCCTGGGTTATGTGGGGCTTTCCTTGTCCTGGTTATAGTTAACTTTTGTTGATTATTTGGCCCCAATGGGACACATGGCCCAGTATTCTCTATACAGTGAGTCCTTGATTTGCGTCCTATAACACCCGTGAATACACATTCGTCCCTAAAATGTGCATATCCACATCCCAAATCTGAGGTATCCCTAGCTGGCTCCTTGATTTACTTTATTTGGTTGGATAAAGTTTCTTTAGTTAAATGTTTATCATGGTGTGTCTCTTGTCTCAAGCCAGGTTAATAGCAGAAATAGGAAATCCCCAAAAATAAATCACATTTTCCGTGACTAATTCACGTTATTAATGAATCTGGATAACGATTTTATGGCTTCTGTTTTTCCTTATCATTATCATTGTTATCAGAGTGTTATGTGACATTATTTTGACGAACACATAATGGAACAGACTGTGTTCCGGAAGTAAAGAAGGGACTCCTAAATCACCAGGGCTTCAGATCTTGCCGTCTTTAAAATTTTAGCCATTGCTTAACTTTAGGATTAACTCCAGACATGGCTCTGGACCCGTTGGTCTTAACTCCAGACATGACTCTGGACTGTTGGTCTTAACTCCAGACATGACTCTGGACCTGTTGGTCTTAACTCCAGACATGACTCTGGACCTGTTGGTCTTAACTCCAGACATGACTCTGGACCTGTTGGTCTTAACTCCAGACATGACTCTGGACCTGTTGGTCTAAACTCCAGACATGACTCTGGGACCTGTTGGTCTTAACTCCAGACATGACTCTGGACCTGTTTGGTCTTAACTCCAGACATGACTCTGGACCGGTTCGTCTTAACTCCAGACATGACTCTGGACCTGTTTCGTCTTAACTCCAGACATGACTCTGGGACCGGTTCGCCTTAACTCCCAGACATGACTCTGGACCGGTTCGTCTTAAACTCCAGACATGACTCCAGATCGGTTCGTCTTAACTCCAGACATGATTTGGGATCGTTTCGTCTTCACTCCAGACATGACTGCGGGCCGGTTCGTCTGAACTCCTGACATGACTGCGCACCGTTTTGTCTTAACTCCAGACAGGACTCAGTACCTGCAGGTCTCAACTCCAGACATGACTCTGGACCTGTTGGTCTTGAATCCAGACATGACTCTGGACCTGTTGGTCTGAATCCAGACATGACTCCACAGCATTTTTTTGGGTTGCACAGTAATTATGTACAGATAAAATATACCAGCAGTATTTTAAGTGAAAGGTATATCTTTTCTCTTTCAGGATTCTTCACCAAAGCCAGATATGGAGGAGAAGTTGCGTTCGGCTTCCAGTGTTGATGAACTGATGAATCTTATTTATCCATCATACTGGGCTGCTCTGAAGTGCAAATCCAAACTATCGGCTGCCCCCCCAGCATTCAAGCTTCAGCCTGGCAGACTAAAGCCGCCGGCTGATAAGGAAGAACCAATATTTGCTGCTGCCTACCTCAACTTGGATGTCCTGAAAAGTATGTTTTCATTAAGTTAATATTATTTATTCCAGAACTTCTGAGGGTCCTTCTTACAAATTACTTAATATAGAGTCGCCTAATAGATTATTGTAATACTATTTTATATTTTTGTAATGTTTGTTCCTGCATCAGTTAGAGCGTCATAGTTTGCAGACGGGCGATATAGATGCTGTCTAATTTGACACAACATGGGCTAGTGGCCTAATATATGTTAGCTCTCCACAAGTGTAATCATATGCACAGTGTGCCGGGAGAGTACACTTTTGTGTGTATCCCGGGATTATATAGAAACATGTCATAGATTAGATTTAGATTAGATTAGATTTATAAATATTATACCATTATCCATTACCACTGATAACATTGAGTGCACAATGCATGCATTTTGACCACACTTACTTGGCGACATTGGAATATATATATATATACAGTATTATATGTAAGTTGAAACAGGTTTGTGTGTGAATTTATTGTACATGTATGTGTTTGTGCATTGCCATCCATGTGTAAAGCAGCTGACAGAAAAAGATGTGTTTCATGTCTTTGGTGGTCTGACCTTCTGTGTGTGTGCAGGTATAGAGTCGGAGTGGAGGAAGACTCAGTGCATGCCCAGAGAAGTGTGTGTCGACGTGGGCAGGGAGTTCGGGGCTCCCACCAACATCTTCTATAAACCACCCTGTGTGTCCGTCTACAGATGTGGGGGGTGCTGCCACTCTGAAGACAAACAATGCAGGAATATCTCCACTGGTTACCTCAGCAAAACTGTAAGCACAGTCTTCGTCTTTCTTTCTTGTTATTATGTGCTCAAACATGGATCAGCGTGTATGTGATCCGTAATGAGTACAGATTTGAAAACACACACAACTCTCTGCTAATCCCAAATTGGGCAAAATGGGTGGTACATTTTTTGGGATAAATCACTTGTATACATATTTCCTTCCAGCAGTATGGCAGAAAGTGTAATGCTTGTCTTCAGGGCGTTGCTAGTTTACATCCGGTTGTTACTGAAATAAAATGTGTTTTCTCTGTACCGAGGCCGGAACCTCACACTTGCTGGGCTCAGTTAAATTATATTTAATCTTACCATGTTGACATTTGTATACCTTTAACCATGAATTTGGATATATATATACGCAATGTGTGTATGTGTGTGTATGTGTCAAAGTCACTTCTACAAGAGTAAAGGAATATATTTCCACTCCCGAACATCTTTTAAATTCACACATTTACTCTGTCTGTCCTCCAGTCTGCTTCAACGAAGACCTTTTAATTAGTGTCGTTGTAACTATGGTTTTGAAAATACCTGGGAGGAATACAAACATTTCAGCATTCACGTGTCAGCTGGTTACTTCATCAGATACAGGAGCTCAGGGCCCTGTTCCTCGTACGTGGTTCAACTAAGTCGATCAAATGTCCGATTATCCAGCTCAAATTAGCGAGATGATTGACATCAGGCTATCTCGGTTCCTCGAAGGCGGATCGGTGCTCAAACCGTCTTGTTAGTTTGAACCAGATGTCAGTCATCAGGATAATCGCATGTGCGCATCTTACGCAGAAGTCGGAAGAGTCGATCACCGAAAGCAGGATTTTTTTACAGTATAACGGCAAATAATTTTAAAAGAAGCACGTCTTCTACGCCGACAAGCAGGAAATGATCATGAACACATATGATGAGATAATATGTTAATTTGAATCATTTTTGTCGGATGAATTTAACGTATTATACATATTTTACGTGTTTCATTCTGTATGTCCATCGCAGTCTCTCCGTCCCAGGGAGGATCGTCCTGTGTCTCTAAAGGTTTCTTCCCTTTATTTTCCCCATCAAATACTTTTTCATTGTTGGAGGAGTTTTTCCTGTGTCATTGTGATGGTTTCTGGACAGAGGATATCACATGTGTACACACTGTAAAGACCTCTGAGTCAAATTTGCGATATTGTGCAATATAAATACAAAATAAAATAAAATTAATCATATAATCAAAACAGACTCCACCCCCCTGCGAGGCTGCAAGCCCGACAAAGTATCGCACACAAGTTAACGTTAAATGCGTACGTGTTAGTAAAATGTATAGGCTCATTTTAAGTGCCTCGTCACTCTAATCAATCAGATTATATTTCTTTTAATGTGCCTGCTGGCAGGAGGCTTCATGGATGATCATCATCCAATGGGAACAATGATCTCAACTCTTTCAGAGTATGAAGATAAAAACAAGCCCAAAAAATCAAATTGATACGAATGAATAGGATATATGTCCTGTATCAGCTTATGTATCATATGTATGTGTAGATGACCATATAGAACTAGGAGTTTTATTATATATGTGTGGGTATAAATCATTATATATCCATTGTTCATAATCAGACATTTGATCAAATGAAGCAGTGAAATGTGGAATATCCAGAAGTTTATTAAACGACAAATAAACCAACAGAACTTTACGCAGCGGCTTTCCAGATGTTCTCTGCATTACCACACTGTACAGGCAGGACAGTATGTGAGACAGTCTGCGGGACAGTATGTGAGACAGTCTGCGGGACAGTGGATGTTTGGCTGGAGCGCGTGGTGTTCATCACGTAACGGGAAAATCGTCTTGTAAATAATTTATTCCTTGTCCTCAGCATCTGTAGCGCTCGTACAGGACGTCATCGCGGCTAAGCGGGTCTTTGTGATCTCAGAGAAGTCTCTCCCTATAAAACGTTAATCTTACTGATATTGCTCCTTCATCAATCATCTTTTTCTCCGGGGGAGTGATGAACTAATCCAGCAGCCCAGATGAACCTGCGCCGGTTCATGTTTTTCGACGTGTTGCTATGGTGATTTAGACAAACCTGATCTGGGGGGGTCAGGTTGGGTTAACATGCTCTCTCTCAGCTAGGTGCTCTTCCACAATATTAAATTTGTGTTGAGCGATTGTTGTGCGATATTATTGCAATTTTCTGACCATTTGACGCCACTGATAACATGATGACAATATAATACATTGTCACGACAGGGTGACGGAAGCAGAACTCAATAGCAGATTTCCAAACAAAAGTACTTTAATCAAAAGCCGACAGGGAACAAGAACTGACAAACAGGGTGACGACATTCAATGACGCGACAAGAGACACACATGGCTTAAATACGCTGGGACGGTGCAGGTAATTGGACACAGGTGGAGACAATCAGGGACATGGCAGACAATCACAGGGATTGACACGACAGGGCAGGAAGTGAAGCTAAGCCAGTCCGGAGGAACCAGCAGTAGTTCAGGTCGAAACACTGGGCGGATGGTTGTTGTTTTAGGTGAGATTTTAGCTTAGTGGTGTGGCCGGTTTTCGTTGCCACTGTTTTTAAACAAAGTCTTGTGCTCGTTGACGTTATTGTCTCTCTTCTCTCATCCGCCTTAAAGCCAAAATGTTCCCACGCCGGAGATGAAGATTGCAGCTTCGAAACCAAGTCCATTTGGACTTGTTTATCCTTAGGGTCTGTAGATGTTAGCAAAAATAACACTTCCCAACACGGTGGGTTCATGCATTCCCTTCACCTGTCGGTGTCCGCGCACGGAGGCGCTGCCTAAGCCCCGCCTCCGACAATGAAAGCCGACAAAAGGGAAGGACGAGCGACTAAAATGTGTAAAAATGAGCACCACCAAAAAATGATCACACTTGAGCACACTGCACACCTGAACAGTTGAGAGACCTGGCACCAAAGGCTCATTACAACAATTTAGCTTTGTGATAGAGTAGCACAAATGTCTAACAGAAGCTAAAATACCCGAGGAATGGAAGCAGTTGTTTGGTGTGGATGTCTTGGATGAGATGTAATGTTTACTTGGGTGTACGGTGCTGCTTGCCATTGACAGAAGCAGTGGTGACGTCTTCCTGCAGCTGGATGAGGAGTACACAGTGAGAACAGGACATGCTTCAATAACATTGGAGAGAATCCTTCCAAACACGGCTATGCTTATGTTACTGAAGATGCACAACACAACACTTGTGGTTATGTAACAGGACGATAATGCAAAAAGTTAGTTAAATGGCAACTAAAAAGTGTTGCCACCAGAGGCAATGCCAGCGGCTCGACTAACTTTGCATTAACTCGTTTTCTGAGTCTGAATCTAACTTATGTTCGATTTTTCAAAAACAAAAACCCTCCAAACAGCACACCCCTCTTCTCATGGGCAATTTATTCTTGTTGTGATAGTAGGCAAATGTGCCGAGCATGCAGTTCGGCAGTGTATTTTTATGAATTTACAAATATGAATGTTACAAATAGTTTTATGTGTCACAAACTGTTGTGTCATGGTGTTTTAACCTGTTTAATAGTGTTGTTGTTGTGGGTTATTAATTATTCTTATAAAGTCTCTATAAACGTAAGATAATTAGCTACGCCCTCAGCGACGAGCTGTGTTCAAGATATTTATCTTCCTGCAGAAAAGCGACGGTTATCAGAAATCAGGAAACATTTATTACGAAAATATGTCAGACATACAAGGAATTTGACTTGGTGGTTGGTGCGTAACAGCAGACAGATAAGACAACATAGTGCAAGAGGAATAAAATAAAATATAATGAAATACAAGGCTACGGGTAGGGGGATATAAAATAAACAATTTAAAAATAAAGGAATAAAAGTTAAAAATAAAAAGTGCACCAGCGAACATACAGCCATACTCTACACAACTGTGTCGTGAGTGTATGTGCATGTGGATTGTGAAGGGAGTGACCGGTGGGATGTCAGAGTCAGTCAGTGGAGTGGAGTCAGTGGAGGACCGAGCTCTGTTGATAAGCCCGACTGCCGACGGGAAGAAACTGTTTTGTGGCGGGAGGTCTTTGTCCTGATGGACCTCAGCCTCCTGCCAGATGGAAGGGGCACACACAGTTTATCTCCGGAGTGAGAGGGCTACAATCTTTTTAGCTCACTTCAGGGTCCTGAAAGCGAACAAGTCCCGGAGAGACGGCAGATTGCAGCCGATCACCCTCTCTGCAGAGCAGATGACACGCTGCAGCCTGCTCTTGTCCTTGGTTGTGGCTGCAGCGTACCAGACGGTGATGGAGGAGCAGAGGATGGACTTGATGATGGCCGTGTAGAAGGGCACCATCCTCGTCATTGTTGGGTCAGGTTGAATTTCTTCAGCTGCCTCAGGAAGAACATGGAGCCCAGAAAATAGAAGGAATCTGCTGTGGTGACGGGGGAGTCACACAGGGTGATGGGGAAGGTGGGACTCTGTTCTTAAATCTACAATCTACAACCATCTCCATTTTCTTCAGAGCGTTGAGCTCCAGGTTGTTTTGGCTGCACCATGTAGTCCACCTGTAGGAATAACATGGCTCAAACTCATCCCACCAGAGATCAGTCCAATGAGGGTGGTGCCATCTGCAAACTTCAGGAGCTTGACGGACTGGTGGCTGGAGGTGCAGCTGGTGTACAGGGAGAAGAGCAGAGGGGAAAGAACGCAGCCTTGCGGGGAACCGGTGCTGATGGAGACATGTTTACCCAACTTCACGTGCTGCTTCCTGTCAGACAGGAAGTCAGTGATCCACTTGCAGTTGGAGTCGGGCACCTGCAGCAGAGACGCGATGATGGTGTTGAAAGCAGAGCTGAAGTCCACAAACAGGATCCTGGCATAGGTTCCTGGGGAGTCCAGATGCTGGATGATGTTGACTCTGTAGGCGAACTGCAGGGGGTCCAGGAGGGGGTCGGTGAGGGTCTTCAGGTGGGACAGGAATATCCGTTCAAAAGACTTGTAGATTACTACAGAAGTCAGGGCGACGGGCCTGTATTTATTTATTTGACCTTTATTTAACCAGGTAAAATCCATTGAGAACCAATTCTCATTTTAAGGATGACCTGGCCAAGAGGCAGTAGCACAGTCCACACAAGTGATACAAACAGCACAGACACATTACAGTATGACAAACACATGGCTAAAAACATTCAACATAGTTAAATTAATAAACACTCATTCACACATCAACTCCTGTGATCCTGGGCTTGGAACAGGGATGATGGTGGAGGTTTTGAAGCAGGCTGGTATGTGGCATGTCTCTAGGGAGGTGTTGAAGATGAGAGTCAGTGTGTTTACATGATGGTATAATTTGAATCTTTGCTTAGTCGGACTATGCTATCTTTCGGGGCAAGTGCTATTATCCCAATATACATGGCAGTGAAAAAATCAAATCATTGGCCGAAAGCATGCCATATACGATAGGTGGCGCTGTTTTCATTACAACTAGTTGTGATACAGCCATTTCCGCTTGACCTCTTCACCACTACCAACAACAACAAACAACAACAACATCAACATTACGAGAAAGATGCTCAAAGACGATTGACAATGACGCGACCAGTGGCAGGAGACACACAGCTTAAATACACTAGGGAGGTGCAGGTGATTGGACACAGGTGGAAACAATCAGGCAATCACAGACAATGACAGGACAAGGCAGAAAGTGAAGTTACCCAGGGAGACAAGAAGCCGAAAACTACAAAATAAGACAGGAAATAAAACCACACCGTGACATCCCCAAGGACAATGACTAAGGATTGCGGGTTGGTCCGCTCCACACGCCGTATCTGGTCGGGCGAGTGACCGCGTTGCCTCTTGCACTTTGCCAGGCGGCGGCATGTAAACACAAACTCATGGGGGGAGTAAAAGGGTTTGTTATGGCTCTGCGCCAGTATGACGCTGTGTGAAAAATGCATACCGTAAGGAAATTTGAAAGCGGTATAACAGCCCCAGTATGAAGAATTTGTGGGGGTCACTGTGATCTCAAACTGCTCTTTGTGTCGGTGTGTGTGTGTGTGTGTGTGTGTGTGTGTGTGCGTGTTGTGTTACAATGGTGAGCTCTCTTCGAGGTCAAAACAATTGGTCAGCTTTAATCATATCCTCATTAGGATGAGAGGGAGAGAGACAATCAAGTTATTAAAGAGGCTTGAATGGGAGTCATTGAGACTAATTAGTTTCTATTCATGCTTTTCAACTCAATGATTGAAAGCATGAAGTGGCTCTCAGGGTTTCACTACTATTCTGTTCAGCAGTCTGTAAGAGTCTTCCTCAGTGCCATGTGAGAACTAAGCCTCGCTCCATTATGCTTTCTGTTCTTCAAGTGGGAATCCTTCACATTTTTCCACATTGTATTCATTTTGAAATGTGCTCGTTTTCCCAGTGATTCAAGCATCAGACTGAACTCAGACTAACTTGAAGAGTCATCGTCCTTGTTAAAAGAATGTGTGAAATATTGCCTTTGTGTGATAGACTACCTTTTATTGATTGTATTTAAAGTCTAGGCAAGTTTAATCGACTGACAGTCGGGTCTTTCACACAAGAAATACACGTATGTGCCAAAAACATAATCACTGTATAAAGTTTTTTACTGCACATACAGTTGATAAGGAGAATATTATCATATCGCCGGAGTAACCCAAACCACAATATTTCCTTAAACATAAAGTACTTGAATAAACCTCAAAAGTAAATTATCCTACGTTGGAAATGTATTTGGCAAACACACTACGCAGAATAGAAACTTACTCATGTTGCCCCTGATAAGTCTAAAAGTCACACTAGATGGGAAAAATCTCTAAAATCTCTGACGGGAGTGAAAATGTGTATGTCTTTGCTTCCCCTTTACTCAGCCTTTTTCTTAAAGATAACCCTTCATCAACAGTTAAAAAGTTTGATTCACAATTTAGTGACGTGATTAAAAGGTGATGGTTACTCGTGGGAAAGAAAACAAGAATTTCTGTTAATAATAAGTCTACACTTATTATTGATGGTGAACTAGATTATTGGAGAAGACAACCATGTCCTGATCATCTTGGTAAACATACAAAAAGTGCACCAGGTCTCACTCTTCTCTTTCTTTTTGCTGTTTCTCCAGCTGTTTGAGATCACAGTGCCGATCACCCAAGGCACCAAGCCGGTGACCATCAGTGTGGCGAACCACACGCAGTGCAGCTGTCTGTCCAAACTGGACATCTACAAACAAGTTCACAGCATCATCAGGAGATCCTTGTCTGAGTAAGCGTGCATACTCAATGCATCATCACATTCTGTTTTCCTGGATCACATACACAACCATCTGACAGTTCTGTTGGCTTTGTGCACAGTATTCAGAGCCAAAGGAGACCTCTGAGGCCTGTGTGCGTGCGTGTGTGTCAGGCGCAGCCTTTTCATTTTACCAGCTGAGGTGTTATTATTGGCACACACACGCATAATGAGGGTTTAAATCTATTGTTCCGCTGCTTCCTGTGACGGTGAATACTGCGGGTGTTACTTCAGGAAACACTTTCCAGAATATCTCTTGATTAACTTCACAGAGTGCATACCTGCATCAAGCTTGCAGTGAATAATGATTTTTCCAGAACACTGACCGTCAGTATCCCATGAGGTAGTGGTTCATGTTGTCATTTTTGGCATGTGTCCTGACATTAGAATAATACATTTATACCATAGTTGGTCAGAATATTCTTGTCCATTTTTAAGAATTATGTCTGGTCAATTCAGTTCTCAGTAAGCGTTTGTGATCTTTGTGAATAGGATGTGTAGCTCCGTGCTGAGTGTACAGTTTGGTGACCACGGGATTGTGTCTGAGGTAGTCCTGCCTCCTTGGCGGTTCGCAGCTCAATTGGAGCGCACATGCGCTCAATCGGCTTAGGTCATGACATTCTGCTCGAAAAAGGTGGCAGCTGACCGTTCAGGTTGGGAAAGTATTTGTTTTAAATAGAGGGAACACACTGTGTCACATGGTTAACGTTAATTGACTGGTTAGGATTTGGAAACCGTAAATAATACGTGACTCCATTTCTCCAGTCGATGCCATTAAGCCACAGCAGAGAAAGAGGGTACTGAGAGATGAGAGAACATTGTTGCATTGTCCCCTCTTGATGATCAGATAAAAATATATGAAAACCTTTTTTGCAGGGTTGGCGCTGCTTTAGGTTTATTTAAACTTTGCTCCAAACATTTTGAAGATGATGTGAAACAAATCTCCCAATTGAAATTAGACTGAAATTGGACTGGAAACACAGGGCTGAAAGGAGTTTGGCCCCCCACTCTAGTTTCAGGTTTCAAGCCAGTTTCACCTTTGACCGTTATTGGTAAACCACTAAGCCAGGGGTGGCCACACTTTTTTGTCTCGCGAGCTACTTTTCAATAGACCGAGTCGAGGCGATCTTCTACCCCTTCCCCCCCGTCGGCCAGGCCTGTTAATAGTAGTTGGGCACACGAGTAGTAGCGGTAACCAAACTGAACAACAGCACAAAACGAGTCGATACTAAAAAAACAACGAGCCTCTCGTCTGTCACAAGCGAGGGAACCGTCACAACCATTCCAGACGTTTTTGGTCATTACCTTACCTTACTGATGAGTTGCACTGATTGGAGTCAGTCAGGGTTGCTTTTGAATGAAATTAAATGTGTCCGTTTGTAAGGAAGGATCGCTTATTAGCACCACCAAGTTTTCCGTTATCGGTCACCCCTGGTCTAGACGGACCAGATCTGGGGAGAAGATGCTGGTTCTGGGGACGTGGAACAACGTGGACGTGGTCCTGGTCATGGAATGATGATGGACCAGCTACTTACTCTTGCAAAGAGCATGCAGGGGGCCTGGGAGTATGCTCATCCGGCCTACATTTGTTTTGTGCTCCTGGAGACCGGGTCGTGATCGATCTCTTGGGCACCCCTGGTCTAAGCAAACCATTTCCCACTGGGACATTCTGCAGACACAGAACAACATGCGGTGGCCTCTGTAGTGCATTGGATACAGTAAGGAAACAACCTTTGGGGATGTGATTGTTTGCAAGCACAAGAGTTCCATGTGTATTTTAATCAAGACAGCTTTGTCTCTCTCTGTTGAAGGTGTCCAGTAGCGAACAGGACGTGTCCCCCTGGTCAGTCATGGAGCAGCAGGCAGTGCCAGTGTGTTGGTCTCAGCACCAACGTGCACCACAACCCCCCTCCTCCACCACTGCCCCCTCCCAGGCCCTCCCAGCAGCATCTTGGTGAGAGGCTTCATATTTGCACAAAAAGCAGAGTTATGTTTTATCGTTGGTTAATCCATAAAACCTTCTAGAAGAAATTGTCTTTTTACTTAGTTTTCAAGCAATACATTCTCACTCCACAGTCTTTATGCAGGTCAGTATCCAAAGGATAAATTGTCTGTAGCAGTAGAAAATACGAAACAATTGCATAGGAGGCTAAGGAGCACAGTCAAATATTTGTTGGAGCTGGCCGATGCCACACTGTAATTGGCCTGGGTCACCTATTAATAATATTCCAACAGCGATATACAATACCAGTCCAAAGTTTGGAAAATGTGTCCTCTAAAAACTCAGTCCAAACTAAGTATCAGCCAAAATAATTGAAAGCTCTAGTACTACACTCTCATATCTTTTAAAAAGATTGTAGCTTCTAAGCTTCTAATTGCCGAACTGAAAAAATGGTTGACAGCTACTTTGACCTGAGTTATGCAGTTTTACTGTGACATTTTTTCTAAATGAAATTCCTTCCTTAATGGTTGTGCACAGCGCTTCGTTAACAGGTGACCAACAGCATTTGTTTTAGTCAAAACAATCTCTTTAGTCCAACTTGGAACATAAGGATGACATAGGAAAGCCATCCTTCCCTATGCTAATCTTTGTGACAGGAGAATGTTCAGAATGGATTCACTGAGGAGTATTTATGGCTACAATGTGTTTGTTGAGAGCCTGTTTGTGTGTGTGGAATTTCCTCAGTGTGTGTGTTTGGCTATGATAAAACTCTGCTCTGTGTAAACAAATGAGAAAGCGCAGAATGCAGGGACCCCACAGTAGGAGATTCCATAGCTGTTTGTATTACACGGTCGAAACATCATCAGGGAAAAGAGAAACTCAGCCCACTCCCTATATGTGGCATACTGTGAGAGTGGGATGAAGTTCCACAATGACCTTCCAGACAAGTTATGAGGCCGGTCCATGAAAGAACATTTAGAGAGTAAATAAAATTGGATCACATATTTTCTACTTTAATGCAAACCGTGTTTTAGTTCTGTTGGTGGGCTCAGATCCAGCTGTCTCAGACTGGGAAAGTTGTGAAGTTTCAGCATTTCTTTGAACTCTGACTAACATGTTCAATCTGTTCAATACGGAAAGGAAGAAACTGCTCGAGCCTGACAACATGTTGTGTTACTATGACAACCAGCAGCTATGAGTTGTCAGCCTTTTCAACATCACATATATTCGAAAACAACATTTTGGTTAATGTTGCATAACATGATTAAAAAGAAAGTTGTGGCACCCCTGGATCCAGGAACCTCTGCTTTTTAGATCATTTTTACTATATCAACGACGTATATCTGAATCCGTGTTGCTCGATGGATCTGTGTACTGACTCCCCCTCTCTAGGGTGACTGTGGGTGAGTGGGGAGCACGGTCGTCCTCCAATCAGAGGGTTGTCGGTGTGTCCTTGAGCAATACACTTAACCCAACATTGCTACTTACAACATTGATATTATGATAAATTATCCAAATAATTCTATGTTACATAGCTCTCCATACATGTAACATTATATCTGAATAAGCAAAAAATGACCTTTGTATACAGAGTGAGCATGACTGGATGAAAAATATTCATCTTGTATGAATCATAAAGAAGCATATATATTTCTGGGCCAAATGTATTCACAGAAGTGTTCGGAGGCGGCTTCATGCATTGTATTATGGAGGACAGTTTTCAATCTTAGCTTGAAATCTGTGTTTAGGGGCAAATAAGCTCATTACATAATTCAGGTTTTTAAAGTCGTGTAAGCACATGCTGCTCTGCTGGAGAAGACACTGCTTTTTTCTGGTCAGCAGTAAAATGTGCATCTTTGTTATTTGTGTTTGTTCATCTTTGGACGCTCAAACATACTCACAGGAGGCATGTGTGTGTGTTTGCCAGCTCTTCCGTTGCTCTCCCTCTATATCTCCCTGTGTTTCGCACAAACTTAGCAGTATTGAATGAGAGCCACCTGGGTTATTCATGTGGAAAAAGGGAAACGTCACTAGTTCACTTTAGGGATGTCTCAATCTCATAGTTTATCATATAACTGTCACACACAACTTGTATACATACTTGTTGTGTTTTCAATAACATATAATCAGGAGAGACAAAGTGTAGTAAAAGATAATGGTTCATTAATAAATGAGAAAATAAAAAGTTTGTATAAGCGTTGTGTATTTACTGAGTCAGAAAGCTTTTGTTTCTTTGGCTGCACACTTTGTGGCCGTTTAATCACAGGTCCAAAAACCTTATTTGTACACCCACAGAGCGCCATCCTCTGATGGGGAGTTTATCAAAGAGTGTCTGCTACATCCCTGGATGTGCGTTGCTTGGTAATCAGACCTACATTTTCAGATGTCCGTGCTCGCTCGGCATCGGTGAGGTTTTTGTTCCTTTTCCACGCATCTTATCTGGTAATGGCATTCCTATTGAAATACTGGACACTGCAATCTTTTCTCTACAAACAAAGCACATCGTTTTCCTCTGACTTCAATAAAGAAATATGTCCAAAGTCCAAATTTATTTTATTTATAAAACAATCTTTATTTTTTTAACGTCGGCTGTCGTCAGATCTCACCTCAAATCAGATTGCCAACACGTTGCAGTGATGCTGCTGCTGGCTCACATTAACAAACTAACAAATGGAAAGTGTTGGTCAGAGACAAGAGTCTGGCCTGACTCATTAGAGACAAACCCCATCTGTGTCTCTCTCCTTTCATCTTTGCAGACATATTCTCATCGGATATCTGTGGGGTCGATAAGGAACTGGACTTGGAGACCTGTCAGTGTGCGTGTCGGCACGGGGATCACGACTGCGGCCCCAACCGACACCTCGACCGCAACACCTGTCAGTGCGTCTGCAACACTCCGCCTGCTCCCTCCTGCCCTCAGAACCACATCGTCAATAGGGACACCTGTCAGTGCACATGTAGCAAGACGTGTCCTCGGCACCAGCCCCTCAACAAAACAAAGTGTTCCTGCGAATGTAACGAGTCACCTAACAAGTGTTTCCTTAAGGGAAGGAGGTTCCACCAAGCCACATGCAGGTAAGGAGGGGTGGGGATTGGGGGGGGGGGGGGGGGGGTCCTTGACCACGATTGCAATCAAAATAGTCCCTGTTCTCTTGGGAAGTTCCCCAACTGAGTGAAATGACCCTGGAAGTATCTTAAGTGGCCGCCATGATAAGCTGATGTAACTCTTTGAATGCTAAGGAAATGAGCATCAATACTTCCCTTATCAACTCCTTTAGCATAGGAAACACTGGACCATCCATTACTAAAGGAAAGAAGATAATGCCAACCCCAAATTACATAAGAGAGCAACATTCAAAGGCATTGCAGACCTACGGCAGTTAATTCTGCCATCTCATCAGAATTCCGTAGCTTAGTCAAAGTATAGTTGAATTCTCTAAAGACGTCGTCGGTTCCAAACCCCCCCCGACCATCACGATGTTCTAGGGATGTTTTCCCCGCAGGTCAAGGATTTAGGAATAGACGTTAGGAGACCGCAGCCCTTCCCTTCAAACTACTGGAGATGTCAGTAACGCTGTGTCAATACGCGCTGGCTACATGCAAGGTGTCTTTTTAAAATAAACCTCCATCTTCAAAGGAAGTTAAGTTTAGGCAAAAAAACTTGCCTTTGAGTTAGTAAAATATTTTGACTGGTTCCATGAATGGAATATCGAATATATTACTGTGGTCATGGTTAGGCAATGGGTCATATATCCACTAGTGGCATCATCCTAGAGTAAAGTCAAACCGCACTCCCGGTCACACACCCCGGTAATGTTCAGCTCCGTTTAGAGGAAAGCACTGGTCTGGAAACTGGCGGTTGCAGTAAACGTATTGCAGTGTGTAATACAAGACCTCGCTGTGCTAATGACTTTTTCTAGCTGTCACTTAACCATTTCCTCTCCCCACACAGAAGGAAGCACACACACATATGCACACATCCATCCATTCCGTCAAGTCCTGACCCTTTGTGACCTTGTTTGAGAGTGATTTATGAGTAGAACACAGCGGTTGGAATCTAGTGTCTGGGATCTGGCCCTAGTGTGTATTTGGCTGTGAGTGTGTGTTCGAAAGAGAGCGTGTGTGTCTACTTGAACTCGGCTGTGTATTTCCTCATGGGTTCATAGATCTCTTTAAGTGTCCATGACTAATTATTATATATATATATATTTTGCAACATAGCCAGAAAAAAAGTGGCAATTACATGCCAGTCTCCGAGTCTTTGTCTTGTTGACAAAGGTAGTAAGCAGTGTTGGGAAGGATACTTTCAAAACGTATTCCGTTACAGAATACATACCCAAAAATGTAATCTGTAACGTATTCCGATACATTAACTAATCTGAGTATTGTATTCTGAATACTTGGATTACTTCCACATTGCATTTTACAAGGAATTTATGTAGGAATGCGTGCATCAAATCCTGCTTACTAAACAGGCCTATTCTGGTGTGTTCTTCTGTTCCAACTGGCTGCAAACACAAAAATGTGTTAGACTTGGTCCTAACACATTTTTGTGTTTGTAGTCCCAAACTGCATACTACAAAAATCTAACCGCTGTTTAAGCGAACACGAGGTCATTTTAGCTAACGTTAGCTAGCATGTCAAACAGTATCACAATCTTTCAACTTGAAAGGCGCCGCCGCCGGAGTGCGGACGGCCCGTATCGTCGGCTGTACCACTTGGCGGTCGGATCGTCAGCGCCTCACCTCCATGTGATTGCACTAGTCCGGCCTGCGTTTATTCGAAGTGGGCAGTATCTGGCCCGAATCTGAAATGAGTTTGACAACCCTTTTTTAGAGAGTGAAAAAACTCTGGAAATAGAGAAGTACCGCCAGTACATGTATTCCGTTACTCCCCAACACTAGTAGTAAGTGCTACGTACGACATTACTCCATCCCTGCTACCCTCCAGGGCTTCATGTGTGGGTTGGGGTTAACCAGATATCAGCTTTTGAAGGCTATTTTTGGGCTTCAAGTGTTATTTTTTTGCAAATGCTCATTTCTATAAATGACATGTACTTGACCATTTCTATTGGTACATAGAAAATCCAAGTAGAGACAATTACTTAATTTAATCGTATTCCTTTTAGGTGGCAAACCCCTCCAAAACAGGATTTCCAGCACATTTTCACATGACCCCCAAAAACAATAACTCGATCATAAATCAAACAGTAAAACAGTTTGACATCTGATTGTGGTGAAAGCTCTGGTGTTTCAGACATGGACTGTAAATCACATAGTAGTTCGGAAAGCTTTCATTTGCGCTGTTATGAAATTTAAACCTTGGCCGTAACCTTTGGCCTTTAGAACACACAGGAAAGTAGTTAGTATTTGTCTTTGTAACGCAGCAGTGTTTGGCTTTCCTGAAAACATGCAGCCTCCTGTCAAACAGAGGATCATAAATGTAGACCGTAAGTACCAAAAACCAGAGCCACTATGTGAGGCATCCGATCTGAACATCGAACATGGAATCATGTTACACGACTACCCCTATCTGTTGGCAAACTGCCATTATATAATATCAAAAGTGAAGTTGAGCCAATGGCAGCATTATTTAGAAGTAAATGTTTTGTTTTTTAAGGTGTTGGTTTTTTAAGCTCCTGGGAGGATTAACCCTTCATTATTTTTTTAATACACTAACACCAGCATATATTTTCCCTATTTCTGTCAAAAATGTAAAATGATGGGAAAGTTCTCTAACACTACACAACTGTTTCCATTTAATGATGTCAAATCCTGAATCCTGTTTTATTATTTATCGTTGCAGTTGTCTCAGGGCTCCCTGCGACGTAAGGAGGCGGAGGTGTGACCCAGATTTCTCCTTCAGCGAGGAGGTGTGTCGCTGTGTACCGTCCTACTGGAGACGACCGGGCTAGCTGCAGGCTAAGAAGACGCTAACAAGATGCTAATGAGCAGATAACAAACTTAACAAGTATAATTCATCACCCATCTCGCTGCTGGTCATGAGTTTCCTAGTGTGTGCAGACGCTGATGAAGGTGGGGAAACCTTAGTGACTGGATTGCAGATGTGGAAAGCTTTGGTGAAAGTGGAAAATGCACTGACTCAGATGGAGGAGACATTTCAATGGGAGAACTGCTGAGCCAGGCCCAGAAAAGGATGAAAGGAAGTACTGAGAAAGAGAGAGAGAGAGAAGGTCAACACTTGACACTAGTTTTAAAATACTGTCTAAATATTTTTTATATATATTTGGGGGGTTTTGTATTCATTTCTCTGTCTCAGTATTTCTGTGTCAGATATTGATTATATAATTTATTAAATGATGCTTTTCAAACTTTGTTTATTGCAATTTCAATCTTTTCCCATGAAAATACACTGTGATCATTATTTTTGTAACATGTATAGTATTTGTGTAAAATAAAGTATACTGAATAATGCATATTGTAAACTTAGTTTTCTGTTTTGGGTCACATTGTACTGAGGTTATTCAGCATTTTCCTTCTAGGGAAAGACTCTCCTACCAACGACCTGACCGTTACCCTTGACAACAGATATTCAACAGTCAACTTTCTCTCAGTGCCAACATTACAGCAGCGACACGTTCCTGTAGATACATGCTGCACAACATCAGGACAACACGTCTCCTTCTCACTCAGAAGGCGCAGCAGGTTCTGGTCCAGGGTGTGGTCATCTAACGCCTTAACTAACTGTAACTGTTACTACTACTACTACTGCTGCTTTTACAAATGCTATTTCCAAAAATACTACCACTGTTATTACAACTCCCACCAATACTACTATTATAAGTACTACTACATCTACTACAGAAACTATTACTACGGTTGTTATTGCTACTGCAAATACTACTATGACTACTACTACCATTGTTATACTACATTACATTACATTACAGGTCATTTAGCAGACGCTTTTATCCAAAGCGACTTACATTACACTTTAAACCCATGGCCTTTTTTCACATTTTTGCCTGGGGAGCAATTAGGGGTTAGGTGTCTTGCTCAGGGACACTTCGACATGGAACATGGGGCAGCCTGGACTCGAACCACCAACCTTGTGCTTCCCAGCACACCTTCTCTAACCCCTGCGCCACAACAACCCCCTAACACTACTACTAACACTAATACTACTACGACCACCACTAATGCTACTGCTACTAATGACTCTACTGCTACCATTGTTACTACTACTACTATTTATTTTACTGCTATAACTTTTGACAAAAAAGCCTTTTGCTTCCTCTTTTCCTTTATTGTAATTAAATTCAAGTTTACGCTTCCTTCTCTACCTTCTATACATTATAACTACAAGGTTATGCAGTTCAATGATTTTGGCCTGTATGCTGTGTCTTGTGTTTTCAAAATCATTTCAGCTTTTAGGATTTCAATGCATTTTCAGCAGGAAATGCATTTTCAAGTTTACATAAATTCTCCATCATCATCATCTGGCAGGGTGGAGGCCATCTTCTGTCCCATTGCTTGCCAGGTTCAGGCCCCTATATTGTGCTCTTCTTATAAAGGCGGTGGACAGAGGAGGTCGTACGCTGTTGAAACGTCCTTTGTTAACCTTGTGCAGCGGTGGAGAGATGTTAAACCCTCTCGGTTTTGCGGGGTACCATTTTAAAAATTCAGGTTATAGAGTCTGGCTATTTAAAAATAATCGTTGAACTGCAGACTTTTTATCCAATTTTTGGTATCGCCACAACTATTGGAATGAGGGTAAAAGCAATAAAAGAACCTGGTACTGTCCCAACCTGTGGTGGTAAACCTGAAAAAGCAGGTCAAAAAAAGTCAAGCCATACCATGCAGTGAAAAAAAAGGCAATATACTGTTGGTATTACATAAACGACCTGGAGATATTCTAGGCACAAGAGCCAGAATAAACTGGAACCAGAGAATACTATAACAAAAATTGTTTATTGCATTAACAAATTAATCTAACTCCACAAGTGAGTCTCAATTAAAATAGATTAAGTACTGTTCACTTAATATATAAATCAAACAAATAAAAACACAAAGGACTAACTGTACCATCCAGGAGGTCAGTGTAGAGATGTTAAACATACAACGTCAATAGTCACAAAATATAACAGAATACCACTTCAAATCAATCAAATCACAGCAAATGAAATGGCTAAAAACCACACAATAAAAAAGAAACATGCAAGATGGCTGCTCCATCACTGTCTCCTGTGTGATCCTTTACAAAACATGTCATGCATGCATTCAAGTAATACATCTTCCTGTCTGAGCTTGCTCACGGTTCCTTCTCCCAGTTGGAGCAGATGATTGGACTAAATGTCCCTTGCCAAGCAAGACTGATCAAAAATGTATTAAATGTGATTAACAAAAAATGTATTCAGTATTAAAATCATGTTTTTAGACATTTTAGGTAGAATGAAGCAGAGCTTAATAAATCAGTCCCCCAAACAAAGCTGCTCTCAGGTGTGTGAATCACCAGGATGAAATGCCCAGGTGAGCTTCCACCCGCTATTATAGGCTCTGCTGACACTGTTTATTTAAGCGTTACCATTGGAATAGATATTATAGAGATCAATGTATAACAAACATATACGTATATCACATTATTGTTCTCTTCTTATTTCCTTCCAGGACAAATTACAGTAATGAGGCGTCCTCCCAAATAGTGAATATTTGTGTTTTTGAAACGTGGATTATATACCTGGTCATTTTGTAAATTAACATTTCTGCGCAAAATATGTGCTTTTCCTGCATGTCCTCTCCGCTCCTGCATGTCTCAGCTGGGCTCTGGCCCGGGTTCAAAGCGGTGAGTCTAAGAGGCAGTTAGCCAATCACTGAAAAAGTTAATGAGGGACATTATAATTTCAGCTCCTAAAATACAGTGAGATTTGGGCTTGCCCTTCACCGCCCTCATGTTCACACAAACACAAGACACCAACACTCCTGGAGAGACCGATCATTCCAACATGTCGATCATTCAGGCACTACAGGTGTGTGTATTTGTAGTGTGTGTGTGTCTGGATGTTAGCATTATTTCACTGTGTGCAGCAAAGCAGAGGTTATTATGTGTGTGCGAGTGTGACGTGATGCTCCTGAGGCTTATATACTTTATGATCCACTCCAGATGTAGAATATAGTTGTTAAACCAAAATTGTCTCTCATGTCAACCACGATCATTCGTATGTGTGTGTTAGTGTTAAGTACAAGGCTTGTACAAGTATTAACAAGTACAAGTATTAAACACACAAGCACACCATTTTTTATATGAAAAATATATTGTTTACAAAGAGCTTCAAATGTCACAGTCTCACAACATTTATATCAGTTGCGTATTATATATATATATATATATATATATATATATATATATATATATATATATATATATATATATATATATATCGGGACAGGGAGGGCGCTCCCTGCTATTCAGTTTCTCCACACTGCCTGTCCCGACTGCTGACCCACAGCCTGGGATTTCCCAACCTTGTTTTTTTGCCATCTCACAGCGAGAAGTTGAGGATATCAAAAAGATGAAACCATCCACCTGTGCACTGGACCCCTTCCCCACAGCCCTGGTAAAATCCAACCTCCTTGCCATAAGTCCCCTCATTACAAAGGTCATTAACCACTCTCTCCGGGCTGGCCATGTTCCATCAACACTGAAGACCGCTGTCATCAGGCTATTTCTCAAAAAACCCACCCAAGACCCAGAAGTCTTTGCCAACTACAGGCCCATCTCCAACCTTCCATTTCTTCCCAAGGTGCTGGAAAAAGTAGTTGCCGCACAGCTTCAGGACCCTCTAAAACAAAACAACCTGTTCGAGAAATTTCAATCTGGTTTCCGCCCTGGCCACAGCACAGAAACAGCCCTGGTCAGAGTCACAAATGACTTACTGATGACTGCAGACGCTGGCTCCCCATCTCTTCTCATCCTCCTGGACTTGACTGCAGCATTCGATACTGTGGACCACAACATCCTCCTCCACCGTCTACATTCCACTATCGGTCTTTCTGACCTCGTCCATCAATGGTTCTCATCCTACCTCACCGGGAGAACTGAGCATGTCGCCTTGGGAGAGGCTAAATCCCCGACACACAATGTCACCTGTGGTGTCCCTCAAGGCTCAGCGCTCGGCCCCACCCTGTTCATTATCTACATGCTCCCCCATGGCCATGTCATCAGCTGGCATGGAATTTCATTCCACTGCTATGCTGATGACACTCAACTCTACCTCAGGACAAACCCAACCCCCTCTGCTGCCCTGCCATCATCCACTCTGACCACCTGCCTGGAGGAGATAAAGGCGTGGATGAAGCAAAACTTTCTGCAGCTAAACAGCTCCAAGACTGAAGCCATCTTAGTCGGCACTCCACACCAGGTTCGGTCATCTGACATTACCAGCATCACCTTCTCCGGCCAAAATATTCCACTTTCAACATCAGTCACTAACTTAGGTGTTAAAATGGACTTCCATCTGACCTTTGAGGCTCACATCAAACATCTCTGCAAGACCTGCTTCTTCCACCTCAGGAACATCGCCAAACTCCGTCCCACACTCGCTCCTGCAGATGCGGAAAAGCTAGTCCACGCTTTTGTCTCCTCCAGGCTGGACTATTGCAATGCGCTCCTCACCGGGATCCCTGAGAAAAGCCTCCAGAAATTGCAGTATATACAGAACAGCGCTGCTAGGATACTGTTGAGGGTGCTCAAACATGAGCACATCACCCCCATCCTCAAATCACTCCACTGGCTTTCTGTCTCACTCTGTCTCACCAGTGCATCCATGGTGAAGCCCCCCCCCCCCGCCTCCCCTACCTCAAGGAACTCCTCACCCCACAGACCTCAACACGTACCCTCCGATCTGCCTCAGCATATCTTTTAAAACCTCCCAGGACTAAGCTCAGTACAATGGGAGATCGGGCTTTCTGCTCAGCTGCTCCAAGTCTGTGGAATGCTCTCCCTGACCACCTGAGGAAACCACAGACTGGATGCTTTTAAACGTGGCCTAAAAACCCACCCTTTTAGGAGAGCTTTTTAGTGAACTCGTTTTGTTTTTGTTTTCAAACTCTCCGTGTGTTTTTAATGTTAGCACTTACCTGTTTTATCATGTAGCACTTGGGGATTTTCTTAAATATAAAGTGCATTACAAATTAAATGTATTATTATTATTAGAAGGTGTGTGTTCCACTGTCAGGTCCACATAAATACACATGGACGCTACATTTTACTGTAGCTATAGCAAATAGCAAGGGAGTGGGGGACATCTGTCACGGTTTGGGTTTGTTTCCGGTTTTATTTTGTAGTTTTCTAAGATTGCCCAAGGCTGACTCTATTT